GGACTTTTGTGTTGGGGTGCTCTGCGACCCAGACACCCGCCTCTCCGCTTCCAGAGATGCAGGTTTCTTTGGAATGACTGGTGATGAAGGCTTGGATGAGATGATAGATTCTGGTCTAGGTGAGGCTCTGGGCGTCGTTTGAGATCCGGAGATCCTCTCTGGCTTCTTCGGGAGCTCAGGGGTTGGAGATTTTCCAAAGTTTCCAGAAGGTACCCGTGGTGATTTGGCTGGTGGAACAGGCTTTTCGGTCGCTGACTGCCTGGCAGGCGTCCTCGCTACTGGTCGCTGCTCTGGTTTTCCGTTAGTCTTAGGAGGCTCAGAGCTAGAGAGGACAGGCTCGGAATTCACCAAAGGCAGAGCAGCAGTAGCAGCAGCAGTAGGCACTTCCTCTTGAGCCTGTTCCGACTCAACAGCCGCCTTTTTCGAGGCCGGTGCCCTTCGCTTAGGTCCACGGGCGCGACCTTTGGTCATATGTTGCAGTTCTGGTGCAGGTCCGGTGTTTCTCTCTTGCGCCGGCCTGGCAGTTGACCCATCTACCTCAGCACTTGATGTAGATTTGTCAATCGCTTGAGAAGGTGGGCCTCGAGCGAGCATACCGGCTAACGCAGGGTTGAAACGATTCGCAAGCTTGCCGGACATGGCTGGTTCTTTCTTGGCAAACAAAGGCGCAGGTTGCGCAGACTGCGCAGACTGAGCAGACTTGTTATCTGGCATAGGCCGAACAACTCCAAGACTCTTCCTTCTGGCGAGAGCTTCCGGCATGGGCTCCTTCTCTTTAGGTGGTGCCGGAGCTCTGGCTTCACTATCTCTGCGTTGCAATCCTTTCTGCTTTGCGATAGCCTCTGGGACAGGAGCAGAAGGTCTTGAGCTCTCTGACTTCTTCAGCACAGAGCCCTCTTCTTGAGCTTTATCAAAAATGGTTGATTTCCTCTTGATGAGGCTCTCCCTGAATTCATCTTTTCGGACCGAAGGCTTAGGGCCCCCGGTTATGTTCAAAGCACCTTTGCCTCTTGTAATGTTTTCTTTGAGGATATCGGGGGCAACGTAATTCTTTGTCTCTGCTTTTCTTAACCTACCAAAGACATTTTGGAATTCGTTGACTTCGTCCTTCTTCGAGCTATCAGATGCAGGCTGACGTGACTTGAGCCCCGCACGGAAATCCGTCTTTGGCGTCGTATCTGTTTTTGCAGGTGAAACACTGCGGCCAGTATCTGCGGCGAATCTTGAAGCTACGGGCTTGGTGTCCACTGAAGCGGGTTCTTCGGTCGCTGATGGTATAACAGGTGTAGGGGCATCGTCGAGATTCTTTTCCGGGACGTCTTTTACGTCTTTTACGTCTTTTGAGTCTGTGGGCTCTTCCAGAGGTTGTGCTTCTCCTGAAGGTTTGGACTCTTCTTTTTTGGCGAAAAGAGGCTTCGGTACTGCTGCTGACGCAGGGCTTGGAGATTGTTCTTTGAGTGTTTCCATTTTACTGGACACACCTGAATCCTCTTTCTTGGGAGACTCGGACCGACGCAGACCAACGGGCTTAAGTTGTACTATGTCCTTGATTGGTGATGTCCGGCCAGAACCGGAAGATTCACCGAAAGAACTGCCTCTGCCCAGGTCAACACTACTACGCTGTTGTTTAATGCGGTTGATCTCAGCCATCCACGCAGGCTGGGCGGGAGGGGCTTGCTTTGGCTTTGGAGATTCTGGTCTACTCAGCGCACTCTCCAACCAACTTGATTTCGTGGGACTCCATCGCTTCGAAGGACTCGCAGGAGAGTTTTCGTCCTGCGAGGCATCCTTGTCGCTGAAAGTTGCGCTGAAGGTTGATGCGACTGATTTGGCTCTGCTGTGACGGGGTAATGATGGCTTGACAAACTCATCCTTGGGCGTGCTGTCCTTTTCTGTACCGGTGATGGTTGCATTGCTGCGACTCGATGTAGGGCGGGTCGGCTCTGTGGAGTTGTCCCTTGACAAAACTGGCCGGTCAATGTTTGAGAGTGAGCCATAGACACTTCCGCGATTGCTCAAGGTAGAATTTTGCCTGCTCAAGCCGGGGGGCGTTTGCGTGCTCCAACGCTTGCTCACGCTGTCACTACGTTTGAGCATGGCACTCTGCACAAAGCCACCCATGCCCTTTGTTGGTGATGTCGAGCGCTCACGCTCTGGCGAAATTCTCCCTTGGGTAGGTGACATGGCGAGCGCGCGAGCTGCACGCTCAGTGTCTCCACCATCAACTGAAGAGCCCTGCTCAGAGGGTGGAGCAAACTTTTGCGAATCCAACACAGGCAGGGGCGTTTTGCCTTTTACTACCGAATCCGAATCGCCGCCCGAAATCGATGTGCTGGTGGAAAAACGATTACTCATTACAGTGCTGCCGCGGACGGAACCACCTCGTGAGCCTGGTGAGCTCGAGCGCGCGCTCTCTGCCGGCGGGCTGCCAATGTCTTGCTCCACGGTCGAGTCGCGCGACATGCCCGCCAACTGCCTCCGACCCGACACCGACCCGGTTTCTGAAGCAGTATCATCTTGGTTCTTCCTGAAGGCTGCAGATCCCCTTCCAATATCGGCCGTCTGACGAAAGAAAGCGGGATCCTTTGCGCCTAGTGAGGCTGCAATGGAGCTTCTTGACATGCTGGGCTCGGGCTCGGACTCGGAGGGTTCGGGGGTATTGCTAGAAGACGGACGCTCGGGGGATCGTGATGCCACTGAGAGCGGGCGCCGTATACTCCCCGATTGTGGGCGCTGCTTCCACGACAAGGTGCCTGACCTTCCCAGAGCGGCAGCGTTGGTGGCGGGCTTCTTGGGCTCCATGTCTTCGAGGGTCATTGTTGTCGATGTTGACGTGGGCCGCGGGGGCGGGGAGCTGGTGAGCTGGTGCAGCGAATCATCGCGGGCGGCATCGCGTGCTGGCGGGCTCATGGTAGGAGTGGGTGTCGTGGCAGCCTTCTCCTGTATGACCTGGGGAGTGCCAACGACGGAACGGGGCGACTGGGGAGTGTATGGCTTGTCGGGGGAAATTGAGCGGGCTCGTTCTGTTTGACAAAGGCATCAGCAGCTGCCAACCCCGGCCGAATGCAGTCACCACGGAATAGAAAAAAACAAACCTGCTCGTCGCGCTAGTCTCTCGCTGCGGCCCTGGATGAGCTCCTCTTCCAATTTCTTGACGCGCTCGGCGTCCTCTTGATCTCGCTGGTCGCCCAAGCGCCGGATCCGCTCTACAAACTCGGATGGGTCGACGTCTTTGTCGTCCGACGACATGGTGGGCTGTAGCGATCCGAGAGGTGAGTGCAAGGGTTGAGGCTGCTCGGCAGTGGGTGGGATCCCAGACGTACGAAGACGGACCTGAGACTAGTAGAACGGTCGTTAAATTACTTTGACTCGGCTACCTCATGCTTGGCTGAGATGGCGGATGCGCAGGGCTGACAGGAGGGAAAGAGAAGGAGAGTGGGGGGGCGGAGGCCAGGCCGCACCGTCGTCAAACGAACCAAGGCAAAAGAAAGCGACAGATGCAGGTCCTCGAGACGACCTTGGAGCGTGTTTGTTTATTATGCTACGTACATATCAACGTCGAGGCTGCGTCGCCCGCTCCACCGTGCAGCGGTTGGACCTTGTCCAGACCAATACCGCTGCACTAAATACCCGCATCTACCCTTGGGGCTGCGCTGCGCTGCGCTGAGCTGCGCTGCCCCCTTGCCCGTCCGAGTCCGATGCCGCATCCAGTCTGTGCCTTCTGTGCCTGACGCGTAATACGACCCTCGCTCCAACCCACGATGCCTCAATACAGGAACAGGCGGGCTTTGGCGTCCTGGACCACCCACTCCAGCCCCTCGCGCAGGTTCATTCCCGTCATGGCACTACACGCCATGATGTGCCACTTGTGTGTCTTGATGGCATCCAGCTGCAGACCCTGTGCGCAGTTAGTACCATTGGCCTGCCAACTACACTCAACAGTTTCCTCAGCCCCAAGCCCAACGCACCTCGCGTATCTCGTCCTCGCTCATGGACCCGGCGACGTCGCTTTTGTTCTTGAAGACTAGCAGACTGGCTCCGGAGAGGCGCTTCTTTGGTCAGACGGTGTCTTGCCGTGCCACAGGTATTTGGACTAGACGAACCTCCTCAAGCAGTAGCCCTGCCAGTTCTTGCCTGCAGTCGTCTATCCGCTCACTGTCCGTCGCGTCGACTACCCATATGAGCGTGTCCGTCTTTTCAAAGTAGTTCTTCCAGTATGTCCGCAGCGTCTTTTGTCCGCCGACGTCCCCTGTTCTGTCAGCATGCACTCGTGTCCGAGCAGGCAGGTCAAAGTACATATGTTTAATTTGTAACTACTTCATTAGCCCGGACTCGTGCACTCGGCTCGCCCTACGTACCCATCGTACTCGATTGTTTTGATGATAAAACCGAGCGTCGGGCTGACGCTATTGACATCCTCATTCATGATCTTCTTCACAATGGTCGTCTTTCCCGCATTGTCCAGACCCCTAGTGCTGTCAGTCCTTGCCACAACAATTCTTTTGCAAACACGCACAGCATCAGGATGCGCATCTCCTTGTCCTTTAAGCGAGCTTTTCGTAATATCGAAAGCATCTTGCGCTGCTCAAAATCTGAGAAAATGGTCCTACTAGGCAGAAGCAAGACAGTGACAATGGGCTTCCTAGAGCCATCTTGGAGCTAAGCCGTTTGCGGACGCCTGCATTCAACGCCAACTCGCTACGCTGCTTCAGAGCCAACGTCTTTCCTTGTAAGATGATCGACAATGCGTTGATGGCTCGAACCAGTTACGAAGTGTATTTCCTCCTTTACTTTATCGAGACATCATGGCAAGTGTTCTGATCGCGTAACCTATTCACATTGGCGATAGCTGTGTTGCTCCCCTGTATGCTCTTTCCTACAGACAAAACGACTGCCTAGCATGTGAAGACTCATTGGACATGAGCACCTCACCAATATATACGCACATTCTATGGTGACAAGGTGAATTCAAGTGAAGTGAAGTGAACAAGCATTCACCGTATGCTTTAGGCAGTTCTGTCCAAGTATATAGAAGGCTGCATCATCCACCATTCCATCTCTCCACCTTCTGCTTTTCGTTAATGCCTCTTGCTTTACTTGGAAATCTCCTGATACCCGTTCCTTCTACACACTCGAAGAAGGTTGGCATCAAGAACACAGCCGTGGAGGACCCCCATCTTTGCACTTCACTATCGCAGCCACCGGAGCTTGAACCGACCAGATTGGAATCTTTCGATACCCAAACCAATATGTCGAAGCAACAGAAAAATGGTTATATCACTTGGCAGCAACTGGCAGACTTTGTGCAGGCCCCAGTAAGTGAAGCCAGCCTTGTGACCGCATCATGTCTCACTGTCCTTTTACACTCACACGCCAACCGCGGTGAGAGCCACAATAGACCTTTCTAGCACCCTCACCATTCCCCGCTCTCAACAACACCTCATCATAGTTTTCTATTACTCACTACCTACCCCACCCTCCCCCACTCCAAATTATCCAGCCCTTGTATGCTAACAGCCGAAACGACGACACCGGGGCCACACAAACATCACTTCCGTCGACCTGCTAAGAAGCCACCGCATCACGAAAGTGATAAGAAAGCGGATGAAATAGCAAAAAATACCCAAACCAGCGCGCTAGTACAGCAAACTGAGTCACCATCCCAGCCTGAACATTCCCGACCCAAACAACGTGCGCAGCCAACTACCTCACCATCCCCTCACCACTCCAGTCCACCTGCACTCGCCCAAGCTTCATTGCTCAATCAAGAAGAGACTAAAAACGCACTCAACCCCCCGGGCTCGCGGCAGAAGAAACGTTCTCACAACAAGAAGAGAGGAAAAAAAGAGGCCAACATGACTACGCTACGAAAAGAAGCCTATATTCCTCCACACCTGCGCAGCTGTCCCCCTTCCAACAAGGTCTCGATTCCGCCACACCTGCGCAACCGTCCCTCTGCCAACAAAGCGACGATAAATCCAGAGCGCAACAATGTTGCTACCAATGGCTCGCCTTCTTCCTCGAACAAGTCCAAATCCACAGTTGCGACTAAGCCTGGGTCAGTTCAGTAAGTTCTTCATGACATTGCAGGTTCAGACTGCTATTTTTGTACCTCCGTCCCTCTGACATGACCCAAGGAACCGAAACAACATGCGCGAGATAACCCCACCTTCACCAGCAACCACACCGCATGAGCCTGTAGAGCTTGAAACTAAAGACATGGTTAACCCCGAAAACATCTGGGGTGGCTGGAACGAACCTGAAAATCAAGACATCGCTACGCCCGAAAATGTCTGGGGCGGCTGGAATGAAGATAAAACCAAGCATCCGCATACTTATCAGAAAACTGCTAACCTGCGTTCGAATCGTGGTCCCCAGCCGTACAAGAGGAAGCCTTGGCCAAAACAAAGGGACATGAAGTATGTTCCTGGCAACAGCGATAGCGGTGGTGGTGTCAACTGCTGGTCTGACAGCAACGGAGACCCCAACTACGATGTCAAGAAATTGCTAGACTGGAACGGCGATTGGCTACCTGCTCCCGAATCATGGTCCGCTCGGAGAGGACACGAAGACCGTCATCTTGGTGCGCATGTAGAGCAATGGATGAATGGGCACTCACAGGAGTGCACCAAATCCGTGTACTACCCACTCAGTACTTTCAGTCCTGAAGATGGACCCTGTAAGGAACTGGCACCTCGTTACTGGCTCGAGGCGAAGGTTGAGGGTGGCAACTTGAGAGAATCTTGGAAGACAATCTCCACTTCGGACCCAAAGCCACTAGATGATATGGACCTTGCTGGTTATGCACCTTGGTGGGAGATGTACGAGGACGTGTTCTATTCCGAGGTGATCCACGAGGACGGTCAGGATGAACTGCATTTCAAGCATAGGAGCTGTTACTTGAACGGTCTACCAGCGCCAGAGGCAAGGATCGACCCTACTGATGCAGATCATCCTACCACTCCTCTGATGCTGGCTTCAGCTGCAGAAAAGCTTGAAGACCTACAAAAACGTAGGGAAGCTAAGGAACGTCGCCTGTTGGCCAAACGTAATCGTCCAGTCCCGAATTCGACGTTTCCAATGGAGGCCATGGAAGATCGTCGCCTGCGCCCTAAGGCCAACATGTACATTCGTCCTGTCCAGCCAGCAGACGTTGTTGGCATTGGAGTAAGTCTGAACTCGAATTTTCCCTAATGGGTTTGGCAAAGATATATAGACAATGGTGTAAAGTTTTCAAACTAACAATATTGGCAGGCGATTTACAACTACTATGTTGAGCACACCATCTACGCAACCGAGTTTGACGGACGCACTGAAGATCAAATTCGTCAGCGAATCAACACTGTCACCAGTGCAGGCCTTCCGTACTTGGTCGCAGTGTCAAAGAGCAACCAGTCCAAGGATAATCCCGGCTATGTCACGGAAAAGATTCTAGGCTTCATCAGCTTGGATGACTACTGCAGCCAGGCATCCTCATTCCGCTACACTTTTGAGATGGAGCTGTTCGTCCACCCAGGCTATACGAGCAAAGGTATTGGCAAGTGTCTCATGGATCGTCTTCTAGAGATGGCGGACACAAGCTACCGCCCTCGCGGCGGGTATCAGTACGTCAACAACTTCGAGTACCTCAAGACCGGGCCATCAAGGGTTATCAAAACGATCCTACTCAACGTCCCTCACGAGAATGGGGAGCACGCAGAGACCGGATGGCAGGGCCAGTTTCTCCACGCCTGCAAGTTCCATCGTGTTGGTCGGCTCCCCAAAGTGGGATATAAGAACAGCACCGTTATAGATGTTGCCATCTATGCGCACCACACCAGTGAAGAGATCAATGCAGGTGCCCGTCCTACTGTAGCAGGATAACCCGGCTTGACATGTTGCTTGACGAAAGGTGAGTTATTCGAGTAGATGCTAGAATGTGACTGACCAAGCATTCAGATCATGTAACGGTTCTTATTCCACTGCCCTCGTATCTCATGAGACAAAAGCAGTTGCACAAATGGGATTGTGTCATCCTACACCTTCTATCACCTGCTTTACTGGCTTAGCGACAGTGGGTTACGAGATTGATTCTTTGCTTTTGCGTCTATCAGCCATACACATGAAGGATTCCAAGGCCAGTGGCTGTCAGAGATCCTTGTCCTTTGATATCCATGTTGCTTTTGAAGGAATCACGTATGACGGAGGATGAGAGTCGTCAGTGGTATCAGATTGACCAAAAGTTGAACTTTTCGGGGCTGCAAATGCACACTTTCTCAGACACTGCACAGTAGATTTCTCCTATTCCCAAAATAAATCATCGATAGTGTGAAGAATGCTCCGATGATTCTGTATGACGACTGTAATTGTGTCGATCCCCCTGTCGCGTCCTGTACCCCGCTAATCCTGTAACGCGTCGACGCTCCCACACTCATGAAGCCACCAGTGACGTCACAGCCCGCCCCAAAGCTTGATCTGCGCAGTAACACATAACCACGCCGTGGACCAGTTGAACTCGAGCTGAACAGACATCAATTCATCAGATCTACATGTGAGTGTGCCTTATTAAATATCCCTATCTTCCCAACTCATACTAACCACAAACCGGACATTTCCAGATCTACATCTGATAAACCAACCCTTAGAAAACCATTCAACGTCGATAGCGTTTTTGAAAGGAATCGCGTAATACATCACTTCCAGCCAGGAGAAAAGTAACGAAAAAAAGGGGGACCTCAAAAACCTCAGTCCAGCCAAACAAGAAACCAAAATGGCGCAAGACAAGAAGGAAGAACAACCCCAGCAAGACCACATCCCCACCTCACCTCAAAACGAAGAGGATGAACAAAGCAAAGGCACTGGCGGCCTCTTGAGCGCAATCGGAGATCCAGTCGGTACGTCTTTATCTCCTTTTCTCTCTCACCCTTTGCTTAATCTCCGTCCCTCCCGAACCAACCCATCACCCACCATCACAACCCCCAACCTAACCATCTCCAAAAGGCAACGTCCTCAACACGGCCCTCCGCCCCGTCGGCGCGCCACTCGAAAAATTCGTGACGGGCCCTCTCGGCGAAGGTCTCGGCGGCACCACACGCGGAGCTCTCGGCCCACTGATGGGCAACGAAGAAGAGCGTTCTGAACTGCTAGGCGGCAAAAATGTAGATAGTTACAGTAAGCCTGAGAAAATTGCGGGAAAGGAGCAGACGGGGGATAATCCGTTGGGGTTGGATCAGACGGGGAGGTGGGGATTTGAGGATGAGGGTAAGAAATAGAAGAGTTTAGTTTGATATCAAAAGGGGGTATATGATTTTATTGGAGAAAGGAAAGGGAAGGAAATCAAAACATTTCACTCATACCACTATCTCCCAATACACCTTCTTCAAAGTACTCGTGCTCGTGCTCGTGCTCCACATCTCCTCCATCTTCCTGTGCATGTCGCCGCGATCTAAATGTATCATCTAGCTCCTGCACCGTACCCGTGCTATCTCCGAATCCCTCTTCCTGCATGCTATCCCTCGTACCCGGTACCGGGGTGCGACCAGTAAGTATATCATACAAACTATCATCGGACCCCTCTTCTTCTACTTCTCCCTCCTCTTCGTCCTCATGTTCAAACCGCAGAATTTGGTCTTTGCCCTCGGGCCACACGACAACGGAAGCTTGAGTGTGCGCGAGTGCGAAACAAGGCTTCTTATTACTATTTGCAGGACCGCAGAGCCAGGATAGCGTCCAGCGGGCGGGAGTCGCGACTGCGGGTTTAGCAATGTGAGGAACTAAATAGAGGATGGATGGCGGATGTTGGGTAGTCGCTGAAGAATTTGCCGAGGAAGCAGATGCCGCGTGGGAGCGCTGCGAGGCAGTGTACAAGTACACGACTGGGTCGTCGTGCGTGGTTTGGACAAGAAGACGATTGGGGTCGTACGGGTGCCAGAGGAGCGCTTTCACAGGCGCGTACATGATGAGGATTGAGCGGGGGCGGAGACTGCGCAAGTCCCAGATCCAGACTGTGCAGGGTGTGCTGTCGTCTCTGCTTGCACACATTGTGCCTTCGGAGTTGAAGCTGAGCATGCCAATGCCTTGCTTTAGGAGCGCGTTTTCATTCTTTTCTAAAGCGGCTTTGGGAGGCGTGGCGGGCTGTGGTGTGAGTGTGAAACTGCGGGTGCCCACGTTATCGACTTGCTCTGTGTATACGGGTGCGCTGGGTACGTCGATGACAGGTGTGTGGTCGAGGAAAAGGATGGGTGCGAATGTGCGTGTAGAAAGTATGCGAACACGCCGGTCCCAGCCGCCAACTGCAAGTCGTTCATGTCCAGGGACCCATTCCAGGCTCTTGATGCCCAGGCCTTCTACATCCCATTCGCTGACGTCCTCGGATGCTTCGCGAATTATTGTGCGATACAAGTGCCCGTCGGCTGTGTATATGCAAAGCTTGTAGCCTGCAGACGCAGCGTCCCAGATGGCCAGCCAACGTCCGTCGCGACTCCATCTCAGACCCGCGGCATCCGTAGTAGGGAGTTCGACTCGACTGAGAACCTTGTACGTCTGCGGTGCAAGCAGTAATAAGATATCGGTCCCTGATGCACGACACAATAATGCCAGAACACGCCCTTGTCCCCTTCCACTCCTCAATCCAGTATCGTCAGCAGGTCGGTAGCCCCAGCCCTTGCCATCTTTACCAGGAAACTTCGGATCGCGTATCTCCACTACCCGTCCCGTCTTCAAGCACCATATCTTAACACAGGCGGTAAAATCGGTCCAGACAAGTACCTCGTCCTCTGTTCCTCCAAACTCTACGTGGACATTCTTGCCCATGCCACCGGAGCCATTGCTAATTACAGCATTCCATTTCTCGTCGCGGAGGTCGTAAACGCGCGTTGTGTCATCATCAGATATGAGGACGCGATTCGAGCAGAGGCGTGGTGTCCGTAATGAGCGTCGGGGAGGTGTGGTGGTGGGCGAAGATGTATGTGTCGATGAGGTCAACGGCGGGATGACCGCGGGTGACCAGGTAATCTTTGACGAGCGCAAATCATGGCTGGATGGGAGGGCGATATTACGGACCACCTCAAAGGTGTTGAGGCATCGTATTTGCAAACGTGCGCCATTGACACATGCAGTATGTGTCGCGGTCGGCGAGGGAACAGACAATGTGGTGGCTGGTGCGGATCAGTAACTGCTGTGTAGAATACTGTATTTATCGGGCACACATTTAATTTGCTGGGATATCTCCATATTCTCCATTGCGCTGGACATGGGCGGTCCTCTCAAGTGGCTTTGTCATAGTGGTGTTTGTGTCCGGTAAACAAAAGGGAGCGACGGATGTTCAGCCAATGAACGTTCGAATTGGCCGCAACTAGCGTGAACGCTACGCTGTCCGCCTGGCTCACAGGCTTGCTTGCTACGGCAATCGTTCATACGTACAGAACTTGTAGTTGAAACAGACCATCTGATTCGACAATGCATTCAGAGCCATTGTAATCCGAGTCAAAGATACTGTATTTTGCAGTTCCAAAGACTTGATCTCTACTACACCCAAACGCACCAACAGCGGGGGGTGTTTGTATGCACATCAAAGTACAGCAAAAAAAGGTATATGGACAGGCATGAAACATACTGAATATCGCCTTCAGGAGAGAGCATATCCAATCTGAAAGCACGGCCGTGCAAAAAAAATGTATATGGAGAAATGGTGAAGAAAATGCCCAAACGCTTGCTTGCCAAATCACTGAATTCGATACATACACCAACCGTCATCTTCATCGTAAACACCTCTAGAAAGTTCATGTGCTGTACACAGGGGCCTTGGTCAAAACTGTCTTGCCACGAATCTGCACTGCAAGTCCGACAGCCAAGCGTACACGGGGTGGTGTAGACTCGTCTTTCGTACCAGTGGAGCTGCCTGGTGCGTTCTGTGTCAGACTCTGCTGACTACCTCCTTGACCAAGAGAAGATTCTCGCTTGCCGAGGGAAGCAGGAGTGACTCCTGCCTTCTTGGACGTGGCGAAACCAAACATGCTGCGTTTCTTGTCCTCTTTGGACGTCTGACCAACCTGCGGTTGAACTTGATCTTGCTCTGCGACGGAGATGCCATCTTCTGGCTTCGATGCCATGCTTCTGATAGAAATTCTGTCAGCATCATCCAGCTCGACTATGGGAGCTGTTAAGGCGGGTATGCCGGATTCCAGCTTCATCAAGTCGTTCACGATGCTGTGGCCCGGCGGGAAGTACTCAATTTGCACTTCTCGGCTTTCTAATGGCAAATGTTGGGCAATACTGATAGCAAGCTCAATGATCATTGGAACACCTCCATTTAGGTCCGGAGGTGCGGGATCATTCAGGTGAATCTGAATAGATGCGATCAATTTCTCATTGAGTGTTTCAGTCAATTTCTCTCGATACGTAGTCGCCTGAGGAGCTTTCAGAGTATCCGCAAGGCCTTCTATTGTGGCAAGCCGCCAGTTGACGATCTTCGCAGCAAGCGACTCTTCATCTTCTGCACTATGGCAAGGGGGCGAGAACTTCCGGATGTTCGACACAATCGACTGCAATTGTGTGGAAAAAGCTGGCTCGAGATCCGGATGAAAGTATTTATCGAATATGTTCTCCACTAGCCATTGAGAGATGAATGCACGGCCGACTGCAGTCATTTCCTGCTTACCAGTCTCCACAGCTGTCTTGTTGACTACTGGGTGCAGCCACTGTGGTATTGACTTCCAGTCCTTGCGAATGGAAAAGGACAGTTGTGCTATTAGCCCGTCTAAGCGGTTGAAGCGGGTAGAATATTCACTGTCGTCCCATGATGTGCGCGAAACAGATAAACGCTGGTTTGCAAGAGTGTTCTGCAGTTGGTGGACTTGGGTTTGTTGTTCGAAAAAGTATCTTTTGACCTTCTGGTATTTTTCACCTGTAGTCTGTCAAACGCAATGATCTCTCTGTTGGGATATTGTACTCACGTAGAACATCATGATCCTTTATTATCTTTTCAATCTCCTCGTCGGTCATTTCGGACGCAGATGCGCGCGGTGGAGGTGTCGCCCGCCCCATTTCTGAGCCTTGTTGGCCTTGCTTGTCAGCTCGATATGGTTGGCCTTGGGAGGCTGTAGGTACGACGGTAGCGTCGAACGTTGCGAGGCCTGGAGACACAGGCGGCTGGCCGAAAGTCTGGCCTTGAGCGGACGGGGGCTGGAGCTGAGATGACTCTTGCGACGGTGCTCCTGGTTGTGACTGGCTACTCTCGTTCACTTTCCTCACAGTGGTTCTGCTATTGCCCTGAGCACTTGGTGTCATACCCTCCTGCCCTTGCTGATGCGATGCGCTGTTCAGTGAATGTAGCTCCGAAGATAGAGGGTGCTTTCCCTGCTGCGATTCGTTGTGTTGGTAGGGCGTGGGCTGAAGAGGTGACGGCGGGGCAAGCTGATGGGACGAGGGCGGTCGGCGTTGTTGAGACTGCTGTGGCTCGATTGACTGCTGTACAGTCTGAGGATGGTGCTGTCGTATGGCTTGTGGGTGGTGCAGTTCGGTCTGCAGTTGCGCGATCGGCAGAGCAGTCTGAGGCTGGCGCTGCTCTGGTTGGGGCTGAAGCTGAGATGCAAAGTGAGGCTGCTGCTGCTGCGGATGATGCAGGCTCTGTGGAGAATTCTCTAGCGACGATTGGTTATGCGCTGACGGAGGCTGTTGCTGTTGCTGTTGCTGGTACTGGTAATAATTCTGTTGAATGTCTTGTACTGGAGCCCCTTGCCCATGCGGCTGAGTGGTCTGGGACAAAGAGCTTGGCGCGTTTTGTGGAATGTACGACTGAAAGTTGCCCGACCCCGTTGAACCCTGAGTAGAGGGCTGGTAGCTGTGCTGTGACTGCTTGCGGTGAACTTGCTGTTGTTGCGTTGGCTGTTGTTGTTGCTGCTGTGGACCTTGACCTTGGTGTTGCTCGGAGCCGTACTGATCTACCCCGCCTTGGGTCGAATAGCTGCCCTCTGTGCTCACCCTGCCAAGTGGGGGCCGAACGTAGGGTTCCTGATGCAACTGCGCACCAAAAGGCTGAGTGTGTTGCAAGTTTTGCTGATATTTGGAGTCTTTGGGAGGCACTTGAGGGGACTCGTCGCTTTCCTGCTGGAGAAACGGATCAAGGTTGTCCTCGTCTTGCTCTCGCGACGGGGGCAAATGGGAAGAGGACCCCTGGTGCTGCTGCTGCTGCCAATGCTGCGGGCGGCTCTCTGCCTGTGCGTGATACTCGTGCGCCCGAGGGTCGCTTTTCCGTACCGACTGTCGCCTGCTTAGGCCGTTCTTCTGAGCCTTGGGTTCCTCGTCCTTGTGTCCTCTAACGCCAGCTGCAATGCGACTGCGCAGAGACTGCTTCTTATTTTCTGGGCTGCTGTATGCAGGAGGAGGAGAATGAGGCTGGTAGGGGACGTGGTTTGGCGACTCGTGGCCTGCCTGAGATGTAGGCGGCGTGCTAGGCTGTTGCTGGCAGTTCTGCGATGGCTGGCCTAAGGAGAGATGTGCACTCAGTCTGTGAGTTGCATTTCGCAACGAGTGGTATTCGCTGTATTGGCCCTGGGAACTTCCAGAAGAGGTCGGTGGTTGTAGAGAAGGCTGCTGGCTATGGATAGACGGTTGATGGGCGTCGGAGGCCTGGTATCGCTGGGCTGCCGCGGCTTGGTCGCTGGCTTCCTTTGCAGATGGCACAGGTGATTGATCCCTTACGGCGTTATCGACAGAGTGGTGCGACCGGTTCGACTTTGTCCATGGAAAGTTAGGCATTGCAATGATGACAGCTCCAAGCTCCGCCGCGAAGTAGGTTGATGATGGCGGGGCGGAAGGTGATGCGCCCAGCTAATAATAAACCAAGCCTGAGCAACGGTTGACCTAGGCGATGATTGCACCCGAACGAGACAGCATTGCGCGCGGTTGGACAGCTGTCTTGAAAAGGATGGGATGGGCTACATAGATGCGCGTCTTCCGCCATCAGCCCCAGCCCTGCCCGCACGTGCAGGGCTGACGAGCAAATGAAACCAGATGCAGGCGCGAGTCCCAATCCCGGTGCAGCTAACTGCACAAGGAGATGCTGATATGGCGGCGGTGGCAGTGCTGACGTCCCGCGATGCTGCTTTGGTAGTCTACCACAGGCATGTTACTGTGCTACGCCTCTTAGTCGCTTTCAAAGTGTACTAGGTGAACGCTGTAGTATCATCATTTGTCATGGCGGATGCAACGCACGACAAGCACGCCAAGTGGGGGAACAGTTCACGTCTGTAGATATCTATGGGCCCAGTGGAGATTCTGCCTCGAAGAGACACCCAGCCTTGCACTCAATTTCAGCCTGCTATCTTGTTATCGAGGGTATATAGCATACACGTGCTATTTTCCCACGAGAGATGTAGTAATTCTCCTCAGGTTTGCCCATGTTCATCACCACCAAATCTGATCAACCCCACAATATCTGACAGCCAAACACAATAGCACATCACCCAAACTCGACTTTCCAAAGTCCCATCTCACATATTTTAGCCTCGGCCCATGTCGGTCCTTTAACGCGCCGGATCAGCTCGACGCCCGGCTGTTCCTAACGCTGCGTAGTCAACAAAGCGGCCCTTGGTAGTATACCAGGCGTCCACGATCAGGCCGCCAGCCTGAGTCAACTCAAAAGAAACCGCTACCATCTTTTGCACAAAGTAAGCAAAAAGTATTTCGACAGCTTGACGTCGCAAGGCGGGGGGCTTATTTGACCATACCTTACTCTTACCATTCGCTACAACATCACGTATCGCGTGCTATGTATGTAGCAAGTAAGTATGGTAAGTACGGCACCAATCGGATCTTTGCCTCGATTTTACGCCCTCCATGACATGTCTCTGGCTCATGTTTCCCCCTGCTGCTCCACAGTCAGGCCCCAGTCTACTCTATTTTCGGCCGCCGGACGTGTACTAGCTTTATTTGCGATATTCCATTTGCTAGGCATCTGCAATATTACTCCATCATCTTCTTACATAGCCTTTAGTGCTGCATTTGGTATTAGATACTTGCTCACCATACTTCGTCACTCTGACTACTAGATTCTATCTGGGCTTCACAATTGCATTGGTGGTTTTTAATGACTAAAAAAGGAGCTTGTGGGGTTTTCAAAAGGAGTGCATGTGTAAGTCAGAGCGGTTATGCACGCCTCCTTCAGATTGTTGCCTCGAAAAAACCAACACATGCAGCATTGCGGCGTTGGGCAAGGAACGCCGCAACAATATGACATCGCG